AAAAAAAATTGTGTGATTCAGTTTCTAGTGAGAGGTGCTTTATTGCGATGGTCTAGAAGGAAATCCACAATATCCCTGGGGTATGCCTGTCCGAAGGAAAACTAAGTATAATGCAAGTCAAGCACAAATCATTTGAGTTTGCTGATTTTCAATGATCTATGCCAAGGATCATCTCTGCCCAGACATGGACCATCCTTAAGAGAGCTGGCGGTGCTGTGTGGCTAACAAATTTCTTCACATTTTAGAAGATGCAACTCGGTTCAAACATCTCAGGAAGTACGTTTACACCTATGAGGCCGAGAGTTCCAGTGGGGTCCCTGGGACTGCGGATTCTAGGAGCGCCACCAAGATCACCTGCAAGGTATGAGAAAGGCCCGCACTCACCCTCAGGGCTGCGGCTTCTGCCACCCACAGCCTGCCGAGAAGCTGTGCGCTGACAGGCCTGCACTTTCCGCGACGGTTGTTCTGGGTCCAGCCCTCACTCTAGAAATCAGCCACGGTGCTGGGTTATTGGCCACAGAAAAGATCACCAGGCCAATTTGTGTGGCTCTTTGCTTCAGAGTTGTAATTGGAATGCAGGCTCTCAGAGGGCAGGCCTGCATGTTGCTGGACTGGAATGTGATGTGAGGAGCTCGGTGGCCTGGGCTAAGGGAGGAGGGCATTGCAGGAAAGCAGGTTTGACACGCGACATCCAGCAGCGTCAGAGAAACATTTCTAAATATCATTTCCTCTAAAACAGAAGTGTCCATTTATTATTGAGACTCGTTGTACTTAGGACTTGATATATAGGGAGCAGATGTAAAAGCTGCACCTTCTGGTGTGGAGAAGAGAGGTCAAGGTTATGGCCAAGCAGTCGCCCTCTTCTTTAGGAGATTCCAACTCCTGGACTGTCCAGGGAGCCATTTAGATTAAAATACAACATAATGATCGGTTTCTTGGTTTCTGTATTGTAGAGTGCAAACAGCACATTTTCATCATCACAGAAAGTTCTTTGAACAACTCCAGATATCAATTAGGGATCTCTTTGAATGTCAGCTTATGTGTGAAACTCTAAGTAGAGCCTGATAGCTATGGGAGTACTTTTGTGTGTGTCCGCGTGCGTGCGTGCGTGTGTGTGTGTGTGTGTGTGTGTGTGTGTGTGTGTGTGTGTTATCGTCGTTGTTGTTTTGAGGAGGGGAGTTCTGATATTAAGAACCTATTTGCTTTTAAAAATCAGGATTGCCTTCTTCCTACTCTGGATGTTTCTTCCGAACTCTTTCTCCTGGTCTTCCTCTCATCCAACCCATAACACCTCTTCCCAGTCAACTGAGCAAATTCACAAGGAAACCGAGCAAATTGGAAACCAATAAAAGGACATCTTCCTTCACATGCATAAGGGACATGTACCCCTTTTTAAAAAATGTGTATCCCAGGATATGTCAAGAGCCATAAGTAGGGCGACATCTGTATTGGCTGATGGAGTCGTGTTAAGGAGACATGTAATGTTGGGAAGCAGAGGCATCTCCCTTGTCCTGGTTAGAGACGCAAGCCTGGAGTGGGAGGTAACTCTGTCTTCTTGTCAGCGAGTCTGAACGTGCTGCCTTGCTCTACTCTCAGGTTGAGCTGGAGGTCCCCCAACTCTGTAGCTTCGTCTTGAAGACAAGCCAATGCACCTTGAAGGAGGTATACGGCATCAGCCCGGAGGGCAAGGCTTTGCTGAAGAAGACCAAGAACTCTGAGGAGTTTTCCACTGCCATGTCCAAGTAAGGCCTGGGGATGTCTCCTGGAGTGCCCGAGCTCTGTGCACCCCTGGCTATTCTGTGGGTGTCTGTGTTGGTTTGTGTGTGCCCATTGCCTTGTGGATGTGTGTGCTCAGGTACTCTTATTAAGTATGGATTTCTATTTTGTATGCATCTCGGGTCAGGAAAAGCCCTGGGGGTGTCATGAATTATAGGTTGGACTATTGACCCGAATGAGATCAATAGTTCGAAACCCCCAGCCACTCTAAGGCAGAAAGAAGAGGCTTTCTGCTCTTATATCCAATAGAACAGTTGTAAGTTACTATCTGTCAGAAGCAACTCAATGGCTGTGAGCTTGAGTTGAGTGGGTCAGGGGATTGCTTTCTGTGCCCTTCACAGTTATCCAAAGGAAGAAAGCATGGCTTAGCTTTGGTTGGTTTCCCCCATTCTTTTGTTCCTTTGTTTTTTGCCTTTTCTTTGGATTGTTCAGTTGGGGTTGTTTGTTTTAACCAGTTGATTGTTTTTTCAAGACTTAAGTCAGAAGACTAGTGTCTGGGGGTCCTGAGTTTGTGCCACGGTGGTATGAACTTGGCAAGTGCAGGTTCTGCTTGGAGAGAGCAGCCCAGGCCCAAGGAGGAAGGGGAGAGCCAAGGTTCTAGGACCCTGTCAGTGGGTCCTGATAAAGATCCTGCTACAGTTCACAGCTGATCTCTCTTCTGATGGGTGGATTCCATATTGTGCAAACTTTTTAATAATTTGAGCACCACATCCCCCTTAACCCCAAATCTCCTTTAACCCCAATTGGTATCAGCTAAGTCTTTACATAACAGGCAATCACAGAATTGCTCATTTGCTATCATCGGGACACACACTCTCTACACGTATGTTTAGGTTCGCTGGTCATTCAACAGGAAGTCAGTTCTTCCTCTGAAAATTTGGCCTTGGGGTTATCGGTCTTTCACCAATACACTGTACCATATTAGACAGATGCGATGGAGTAAACTATTTTTTTCATCCTTACCCTTTGACAATGAAACAAGTGGGCTGTTGCTTTTGATCACCTCCAGGTGGCCCAGACTATGTCTTGGGAGAGTCAGGACTTCCTGAGAAGGCGCAGAGGGTACCGGAGACACACCTGGTTTTCTTTGCCTCTTGCTGACTTAACTAGAGCAGTGACGTCCAGGGCCTCTGAAACCCAGAGTCCCCAGAGGGACATCGTGACTGTCACCACCAGCTCCCGAAGGCCAGCGTCAACCCTTTTGCCCTACCAGTTTTCGCTGAGTAGATGCCCACCATGGGCTCAGGCCTGGGAACAGTTGTGAGGACAGGCAGGACCAGTGCAGGACCATAAGGTTGCTATGGGTCAGATGGAACTTACTGACATTTACAAAGAACATGATTCCAGCTCCTGGCAACCGCCTGTGTGTCCAGTAGAACTGTGCTCCGTGGGGTTGTACATGGCGGATTCTTCAGAACGAGATCTTCAGGAGTGTCTTCCAAGGCATCTCTGGGTGGGTTCCATCTGCCAGTCTTTCGGTGAGCAGCTGCATGCTTAACCATTAGCACCACCCAAGGTTTCCGGCAGTCGTAGGCGAGGCCATAAGGAAGAGTGACTATGCACTGAAAAGAAACGCAAACCACTAGCAACCCGGAGATATAAATCATTCTAACAATGTGCTAGCCATCCTTTTATGCCAGTCGGAGTTTAAAATGTCTCGGCACTGTCAGGTAAGCATTGAACTTCTAGCCAAAAGGCAGGGACAAGCTCCTCCAAGGGAGACAAATGAGGCTTTCTGCTCCCATAAGGATTGGCAGGTGTGGAAACCCTATTGAGTCGCTATGACTTGGAATTGACTTGATGACAGTGGGTTGGTGGGTCAAACCCATTCCTGGCAGGATTGGGGGGGAAACTATAGTCTCCTTCACTCTTGTTGGAATGAGAATTGTTAAGTACTATCTAGCATTATGAAAATAGTTATACTTTTTGACACAGTGATTCCTATCTCTGGGACTCCAGCCCATAAAGATAAAAGCAGTAATGCATGAAGATATACATATCTGCTATTTATTTCAGTATTATTTGTGTGACCAAAAGTAACAAAATACTAAAAAAATGTAAAGTGAATGCCATCAAATGGGAGAATATCTGAAGATATTATACATAACCATAGAATGAAATTGTTATGAAACTTTTAAAACATCTTAGACCTAAATGAGCCAGCAGGATTTCCATCAAGTATAATTATGTGCAGAGTCCAGGCGGTGTAGTGGGTTACAAATTGGCCTGCTATCACAGTGTCAGGAGTTCAGAACCTCAGGAGAAATATGAGGCTAGCTGCTTCCAAACAGAGTTGCCATCTCTGGATGCCTCCGACTTCTCACCACTCAGCACGGCACCATCTCACGGCCGGGTGCTCCCATCACCAGGCTGTGCTTCTCAAGTCCTCTGGTTGTCATGGCAGCACATGCCCTACATGCTAACCACCTTCTCCCACCCAATATACTTCTTCCTCCTCAACACCTTGACTTTGATTCTTATATATATATTTCCCGTCTCAGAAACACAAAGGGGCCGTTCTACTCTGTTCTATAGGATCACTGTGCATCAAAATGTTGTCAAATCAATGGCAGCGAGTTTGAGATAATTAAGGAAAGACAACAAAACTCATTGAAGAGGGCAGAATATGATTCAATTCATATAAAACGGATAATGACAAGCATAAATCCTTAGAGGTTTTCAGCTATGAGAAAGGAAATTTGATTTATCTATACAAAAAGCAGATGACTGCTATCCCCAAAGTTATGGGATTGGTGGTTGTTGGACCTTGGTTC